CCAGAGGAGACAGGTATCTCACTCCCATGATTGAAACCTTTTGTTGACGGGCCGGAGGTGGTGTAAACTCTGGTGCGGAGAGTTGCGCTCTCACACGCGCACACACACACACACACACACACACACACACACACACACACACACACACACACACACACACACACACACACACACACACACACACTAGACACCCAACGAATGAGTAGAAAAAACTGTATTTAAGAGCTGCAAGTAAATTTATTAATTTAATCTGGCTCGGAGCGCAGTTTTCTTCTACTGAGTTTTTACTTCACTAAAAACTTGTAAGTGAATCTCACTATTGTTTATTTCTCTAGTGTTGAAGAGAGTCCAAGCTTGGTACCTCTGTCGTCACACGATAACCGTCCCGTCTTGGTACCTCTGTCGTCACACGATAACCGTCCCGTCTTGGTACCTCTGTCGTCACACGATAACCGTCCCGTCTTGGTACCTCTGTCGTCACACGATAACCGTCCCGTCTTGGTACCTCTGTCGTCACACGATAACCGTCCCGTCTTGGTACCTCTGTCGTCACACGATAACCGTCCCGTCTTGGAACCTCTGTCGTCACACGATAACCGTCCCGTCTTGGTACCTCTGTCGTCACACGATAACCGTCCCGTCTTGGTACCTCTGTCGTCACACGATAACCGTCCCGTCTTGGTACCTCTGTCGTCACACGATAATCGTCCCGTCCTGGTAGGGGACGAAATCCAAGGCCAGGATTGTTCAAGCACCTGCGCCTCCATTTACGAAACCGGTATGTCTTTCTTCAATCAGTTTATGAACTTTGAAGCAATAATATCCTTGGAGGCTTTTTATGTTTCAAAGCTCGGAAATTGTTTAGTAAATGTCAACAGCCGCCATGATTGAGGGAAGATGTACAGGTTTCGTAAATGGACACTTAGGAGGTGTGTGTCACCCAATGGTGGACACTTAGGAGCTGTGTCACCCAACGGCGGACACTTAGGAGCTTGAAACTAATAACAATAATAAACATGAACGTTGTGGTCGGGTTGTGAGTTATAAGGAGAACCAAATTCCCATCCTGAACCTCCAGTGGTAGGCCTACGCCTCCAGTGGTAGGCCTAAGCCTCCAGTATTAGGCCTAAGCCTCCAGTATTAGGCCTAAGCCTCCAGTGGTAGGCCTAAGCCTCCAGTGGTAGTCCTGAGCCTCCAGTGGTAGGCCTGAGCCTCCAGTGGTAGGCCTGAGCCTCCAGTGGTAGGCCTGAGCCTCCAGTGGTAGTCCTGAGCCTCCAGTGGTAGGCCTGAGCCTCCAGTGGTAGTCCTGAGCCTCCAGTGGTAGGCCTGAGCCTCCAGTGGTAGGCCTGAGCCTCCAGTGGTAGTCCTGAGCCTCCAGTGGTAGGCCTGAGCCTCCAGTGGTATGCCTGAGCCTCCAGTGGTAGTCCTGAGCCTCCAGTGGTAGGCCTGAGCCTCCAGTGGTAGTCCTGAGCCTCCAGTGGTATGCCTGAGCCTCCAGTGGTAGTCCTGAGCCTCCAGTGGTAGGCCTGAGCCTCCAGTGGTAGTCCTGAGCCTCCAGTGGTAGGCCTGAGCCTCCAGTGGTAGGCCTGAGCCTCCAGTGGTAGGCCTGAGACTCCAGTGGTAGTCCTGAGCCTCCAGTGGTAGGCCTGAGCCTCCAGTGGTAGGCCTGAGCCTCCAGTGGTAGTCCTGAGCCTCCAGTGGTATGCCTGAGCCTCCAGTGGTAGTCCTGAGCCTCCAGTGGTAGCCCTGAGCCTCCAGTGGTAGGCCTGAGCCTCCAGTGGTAGGCCTCAGCCTCCAGTGGTAGGCCTGAGCCTCCAGTGGTAGTCCTGAGCCTCCAGTGGTAGTCCTGAGCCTCCAGTGGTAGGCCTGAGCCTCCAGTGGTAGGCCTGAGCCTCCAGTGGTAGTCCTGAGCCTCCAGTGGTAGTCCTGAGCCTCCAGTGGTAGGCCTGAGCCTCCAGTGGTAGGCCTGAGCCTCCAGTGGTAGTCCTGAGCCTCCAGTGGTAGGCCTGAGCCTCCAGTGGTAGTCCTGAGCCTCCAGTGGTAGGCCTGAGCCTCCAGTGGTAGGCCTGAGCCTCCAGTGGTAGGCCTAAGCCTCCAGTGGTAGGCCTGAGCCTCCAGTGGTAGTCCTGAGCCTCCAGTGGTAGTCCTGAGCCTCCAGTGGTAGGCCTGAGCCTCCAGTGGTAGGCCTGAGCCTCCAGTGGTAGTCCTGAGCCTCCAGTGGTAGGCCTGAGCCTCCAGTGGTAGTCCTGAGCCTCCAGTGGTAGGCCTGAGCCTCCAGTGGTAGTCCTGAGCCTCCAGTGGTAGGCCTGAGCCTCCAGTGGTAGGCCTGAGCCTCCAGTGGTAGGCCTGAGCCTCCAGTGGTAGGCCTAAGCCTCCAGTGGTAGGCCTGAGCCTCCAGTGGTAGTCCTGAGCCTCCAGTGGTAGGCCTGAGCCTCCAGTGGTAGGCCTGAGCCTCCAGTGGTAGGCTGGTAACTGCTGACAATGTCGACCTCTGTCACCCTGGCTCCTGCTCCTGTAAGACTCGCGCACCAGCTGATGCTTACCAAATAATTCATTTACTTTCCTCATGCGTATAATTTTCGTCACAAAGGGGAAACATTAAGAGCATAAATAACATGGGTTTCCACTGATCATATAGCCTTTTCCTGTCCTATCTACTCCTTCTCTCTCTCTCCTTCCTTCCTCTCTGCTTTCTCATTCTCTGTCCTTACTCTCCTTCCCTCTTCTCTCTCTCTCTCTCTCTCTCTCTCTCTCTCTCTCTCTCTCTCTCTCTCTCTCTCTCTCTCTCTCTCTCTCTCTCTCTCTCTCTCTCTCTCTCTCTCTCTCTCTCTCTATATATATATATATATATATGTATGATTAGGAGCCTGAAATATTATAACATAACCTTCATTGTGTAAATTCTGTCCTGCCCTGTGCTGAAATATGCAAATTATATCGAGGCCACATTCATATGATAAACACTTACAACTAGATGTAACCCGGCTAGTTTAGAGGGGAGAAGGGACGAAGAGGGATGGAGGAGGGGAAGCCAGCGCGTGAAATATAAAAGGGGGATAGGAAGTGCTATTGATCACTCAGGTACTCAAAAGAGCGGAGGTGAACTCAGTGGGGGTGGTTAAAAGTGTTACTAACTGCAGGGTAATATACCCCGGTGGTCCAAAAAGTGAGCGCTGTGGGTATAAGAGAGCGCTGGGGGGAATAAGAGAGCGCTAGGGGGTATAAGGGAGCGCTGGGGGGTATAAGAGAGCGCTGGGGGTATAAGAGAGCGCTAGGGGTATAAGACAGCGCTAGGGGGTATAAGAGAGCGCTGGGGGGTATAAGAGAGCGCTGGGGGGTATAAGAGAGCGCTAGGGGGTATAAGAGAGCGCTGGGGGTATAAGAGAGCGCTAGGGGGTATAAGAGAGCGCTGGGGGGTATAAGAGAGCGCTGGGGGGTATAAGAGAGCGCTGGGGGGTATAAGAGAGCGCTGGGGGGTATAAGAGAGCGCTGGGGGGTATAAGAGAGCGCTAGGGGGTATAAGAGAGCGCTGGGGGTATAAGAGAGCGCTAGGGGGTATAAGAGAGCGCTGGGGGGTATAAGAGAGCGCTGGGGGGTATAAGAGAGCGCTGGGGGGTATAAGAGAGCGCTAGGGGGTATAAGAGAGCGCTGGGGGGTATAAGAGAGCGCTGGGGGTATAAGAGAGCGCTGGGGGGTATAAGAGAGCGCTGGGGGGTATAAGAGAGCGCTGGGGGTATAAGAGAGCGCTAGGGGGTATAAGAGAGCGCTGGGGGGTATAAGAGAGCGCTGGGGGGTATAAGAGAGCGCTGGGGGGTATAAGAGAGCGCTGGGGGGTATAAGAGAGCGCTGGGGGGTATAAGAGAGCGCTAGGGGGTATAAGAGAGCGCTGGGGGGTATAAGAGAGCGCTGGGGGTATAAGAGAGCGCTGGGGGGTATAAGAGAGCGCTGGGGGGTATAAGAGAGCGCTGGGGGGTATAAGAGAGCGCTGGGGGGTATAAGAGAGCGCTGGGGGGTATAAGAGAGCGCTGGGGGGTATAAGAGAGCGCTGGGGGGTATAAGAGAGCGCTGGGGGGTATAAGAGAGCGCTGGGGGGTATAAGAGAGCGCTGGGGGGTATAAGAGAGCGCTGGGGGGTATAAGAGAGCGCTGGGGGGTATAAGAGAGCGCTGGGGGGTATAAGAGAGCGCTGGGGGGTATAAGAGAGCGCTAGGGGGTATAAGAGAGCGCTGGGGGTATAAGAGAGCGTTGGGGGTATAAGAGAGCGCTGGGGGGTATAAGAGAGCGCTGGGGGTATAAGAGAGCGCTGGGGGGTATAAGAGAGCGCTGGGGGGTATAAGAGAGCGCTGGGGGGTATAAGAGAGCGCTAGGGGGTATAAGAGAGCGCTGGGGGATATAAGAGAGCGCTAGGGGGTATAAGAGAGCGCTGGGGGTATAAGAGAGCGCTAGGGGGTATAAGAGAGCGCTTGGGGGTATAAGAGAGCGCTGGGGGGTATAAGAGAGCGCTGGGGGGTATAAGAGAGCGCTGGGGGTATAAGAGAGCGCTAGGGGGTATAAGAGAGCGCTGGGGGGTATAAGAGAGCGCTAGGGGGTATAAGAGAGCGCTGGGGGGTATAAGAGAGCGCTGGGGGGTATAAGAGAGCGCTGGGGGGTATAAGAGAGCGCTGGGGGGTATAAGAGAGCGCTGGGGGTATAAGAGAACGCTGGGGGTATAAGAGAGCGCTGGGGGGTATAAGAGAGCGCTAGGGAGTATAAGAGAGCGCTAGGGGGTATAAGAGAGCGCTGGGGGGTATAAGAGAGCGCTAGGGGGTATAAGAGAGCGCTGGGGGGTATAAGAGAGCGTTGGGGGTATAAGAGAGCGCTGGGGGTATAAGAGAGCGCTGGGGGTATAAGAGAGCGCTAGGGGGTATAAGAGAGCGCTGGGGGGTATAAGAGAACCCAAACACCAGAAGTGGTGTTTGGGTTGAGGGGAACCTGGGGGAGGGCGCCCCCCGACACAGGTCGTCACCGACTACAATATGGATGGGACATTCCTCTACACATGTACTGCATGCGGCCCACCCTTGCCGCTGCCTCTGCGGCCCTGGCTGCCTCTGTTGCCGTGGCTGCATCTGTTGCCGTGGCTGCATCTGTTGCCGTGGCTGCATCTGTTGCCGTGGCTGCATCTGCGGCCGTGGCTGCCTCTGCGGCCGTGGCTGCCTCTGCGGCCGTGGCTGCCTCTGCGGCCGTGGCTGCATCTGTTGCCGTGGCTGCATCTGTTGCCGTGGCTGCATCTGTTGCCGTGGCTGCATCTGTTGCCGTGGCTGCATCTGCGGCCGTGGCTGCCTCTGCGGCTGCATCTGTTGCCGTGGCTGCATCTGTTGCCGTGGCTGCATCTGTTGCCGTGGCTGCATCTGTTGCCGTGGCTGCATCTGTTGCCGTGGCTGCATCTGTTACCCTGGCTGCGCGTTCGTTGCTCCTGTTTCTTTCCCGTTTACTCTGCTAATCGTTTTCTGTTGCATCTAGTTCTGTTAGTGTTGATATTAATATACTTCCGCCCCCCCCCCTCCCTGTTACCGCATAATAGCCGTTGTTCTCTTTATGTTCCTGTTGTACTTGGATCCTTCTGTTTAAAAGACCTCTGTTACTGTTTTAAAATTCCTCTGTTACTGTTCGATTCTCCCTTTCCTGTTTTACCTCATTCTCGACTCTATTGTTGACTGTTCCTTTGTTATTTTTGTTGCTACTCAATTGAGTTCAGTTTAATTAAAAAAATGCATTCATGTATGTTCCTACATTTATAATTAGCTTTAGATAACAAATATTCAATACCTTTGTTGTTCTTCCTACTGGTGTTGCTGCTGTGTGTTTAGTCATATTGTTTCGTGTGTTGCAATACTTCAACAAAATTATCTAAATGTGATTAACTTTTCGTTATAATTATAATGAATGTAATTATGTTATAATGTCAGGTTATCTTGAGATGATTTCGGGGCTTTCAGTGTCCCCGCGGCCCGGTCCTCGACCAGGCCTCCACCCCTAGGAAGCAGCCCGTGACAGCTGGCTAACACCCAGGTACCTGTTTTACTGCTAGGTAACAGGGGCATCAGGGTTGAAAGAAACTCTGCCCAGGGTTTGTCAGTTTAACAAAATGTGGGAATTGGGATGGTTTGATTGTAGTAATAGGGAAGTTGTGTACTCACGCTCCTACAAGCGTAACTGGGGCTCATTGTTAGTGATATTCATAAGAAACGTAATTGGTGCACAGTGAAAAGGAAAATTGGGACTCAAACAGCCGCATAATTGGGTGCGGAGAATTAGTCACAATAACGTGGCTGAGACAACCAACCCGCACATCTGAGGGTAAAGGAATTGACGACTTTCCGGTCCTGTCGTGGACCGATTCAAGTCGGTTCTGTCCTGGATCAAATCGTGTAATGCATAAAGAAATCACACTAACGTGATGCATAAATGGGACAATCAGTAGAATACATTGATGAGGATTCGAGCCTGCATACTGGGTACTCAGCCTGTCCTTCATACAAAGACCCAAAAGTGATTCCATGCACCCGCCAAACCCCCTGTTTATGAATGTAAAACGGTTTACACACGACTCACAACTGATGACGTTCGAACACTTCCGGAACAAGTGCTTCACTGACGAATTTTGTTCGAACCACAACGCTGTAAATGCTTCACCCACGTACTACAAATACAAAAAATCGCCAACAGAACCTAAACACCTAACCTAACCTAACCTAACCTATGCCTATATATGCAAAATATACTAACATATTATAATATTAATTTACATTTGAGAAAATTCCTGTTTGGAATGAACAGCATGTAAAAATTTATGAATGTGTCTGTAGGGGTCGACCGCTGGATGGAATGGACTTGAGTCGAAGACGGGTTGAAGCAGGCGTCCTAAACAACTCGGCCACGACATGCTTCTACTGATTTCCTCGTTGATACTTCACTTTCTTTAAGCATTACACTGTTTGATAACGGTCCAGGACGGACCGAAACGCCGACAAATCCGTTACTCTCAGATATGCAGGCTGGTTATCTATAAAATATATATTTGATTACATAGATTAAAACTGATTATAATACAAACGAAAATAATTATAATGCAATGGCAAAATTGCGCTCTTAAATTGAGGAAAATTAAGATAGTTATTTATGTTATTGGAATAAACTAAGACTAATTTCATCGTGATATAGAACACAATTATTTTCGTAATTGAAACAAACTAATTTGGTGGAGATAAAGGGGCAGAGATCATCCCTGTACAGCATATTAGGGTCTATTGGGGCCACGAGGGCCACCAACACGGGTAATGGTGTTTTGATGGATGGGAAACAGGGGTGGTTTAAGTGGCCAGTTAGGGCCAATTAATGGACGCTTGGGTGTGTATAAGAGTGAGAGAGAGAGAGAGAGAGAGAGAGAGAGAGAGAGAGAGAGAGAGAGAGAGAGAGAGAGAGAGAGAGAGAGAGAGAGAGAGACATATCCCTACGTAGCATTAATTGCCCTTCCATTTCTCTCTAATCCTTTCGGGCTTGCTTTGCCATATCTCTTCCTCCTTACCCTTCCTTTGTACCCTTCCTTTGTACCCTTCCTCCCTACCATTCTACCTATTCTCCATAACCCTTCATCCCTACACCTTCCACCTTACCCTTTCTTCCTACCACTCCCTTCTCTTCTTAAACGTTCTCGCTTCTTTTACCGCCTCTCCTTCCTTCCGTTTCTTCCTCCCTTACTTTCCTCCTTGCCTTTCCTCCCTTCTGTTCCTCCTTAGCCTTCCTCCCTTCACCAATCACATTTCTTCTCTCTTCTCTCCTCTTCATTTCATGTCTATATATACATAAAATGTATAATACATGTTATTTATATATGCATATGTACATTTTATGTCCATTCATTAGATCAGTATTCTTTGTACTTTACATTATACATGTATATTTATCAGGAGAATATTACCATGCGGATTTAGGGACAATAATTCCTAGCCCTTTTGTGGATTCACGTTCACATTATCTCAGGATTCACGTTCACATTATCTCAGGATTCACGTTCACATTATCTCAGGATTCATGTTCTCAGCACTCTCGTCCCCAGCACTTGTTTCCCAACAGTCATGTTCTCATAAGTCCACAACTGTGATTTCAAACCAAATTGGACAAGCTGTTTATGATTTCTTCAAAATCTATTATGGTTAGAGGGACATTTAATGCGAATTCTTCTTGTTGTGTCACTGTCAATAATATAGTGTGTATATATGTTAAGGCAGACGTCTGGGAATCTATCACCAGGTCTCAAGTTCAAGTCCTTCCATTGCCTCAAATTCATCTTCATGTACATATATGAAAAGGTCGTAATGCTATAGGTGGTTTGTGCTTTAGGCTTTGTATAGAACATGTATTTTTTTTTTAGATTTCACTAATGACTTTTCCATAACTTTGTCTATCCCGGGTTTCTCAATTTTAGCGTAATAGGTGTACAGTTTTCTCTCGTCATTTTTGCACATCGTTCTCGGGAAGTGAGGCGCTTGAGTAATTATGTGATTTGTCTCCGTGGTGTAGTGGTAAGACACTCGCCTGGCGTTCCGCGAGCGCTATGTCATGGGTTCGTATCCTGGCCGGGGAGGATTTACTGGGCGCAATTCCTTAACTGTAGCCTCTGTTTAACGCAACAGTAAAATGTGTACTTGGATGAAAAAACGATTCTTCGCGGCAGGGGATCGTATTCCAGGGACCATAGGATTAAGGACTTGCCCGAAACGCTACGCGTACTAGTGGCTGTACAAGAATGTAACAACTCTTGTATATATCTCAAAAAAAAAAAAAAAAAAAAAAAAAATTGTTCGTTTTCCACCTGTAAAGGAAGCTCTGTCCTTGTCCGAATTTGCATGCTTTTCTGTATCTTTTCCTTAAGTGTTTGAGACGACTGTATCGCGACCGCTGTAACTATCGTCTCGTGACACTAACTTAGGTTCATGTTTTAGTTGTTCTTGAGAGCTTATGTCATGATTGTAATCCGAGTAATGTGTATTTATAATCATAATGTGTCTTGTTAGTTCATTAGTGTGTAAATAAGGTACAATTTGTTTTCTGATTATTTCTACTCTTTGCTGGTTAATGGAGATGATTCGTATGTTTTTTTTTTATAGTGCTTGCTGGGATTCTCTCTGCTATCACTGCGTTTAAATATGGTGACATTTTAGGGCTCGTATATTGAAATCATAGAACAAGTTGATTTTAGCTGAGTTTCTGAGTGTGTAAAGGCTGTACTCCACTTTCGTCAGTTGGCTTTAAAATCCTAACAATATGCGTCTTGTGATTTGTGTAAGACGACAAAATCTGTACCTTGGCTTTAAATTCTGACGGTCAGGACTTAGCATCGTTGGTGATGTTCAACAGCTTATTACAGATGAACGAGTCTTTTAACTTACAGGACAATCATACCCTGTAAACTGCTGTCTCAGTCACGTTTAATAAGCCTGTACTCTGAAACTCGTATTTCGCTGCTAGTGTAGTCTGCGAGCTTCTTTGAAGGCTGAAAAAGACTTATTTGCCTTGGTTAGTACGTCAGCTATAAAATTAATTTTGGTAATTCAACGTTATTTGATATCTTGTATGGGTGACCTATTTCTATGAGAGACCTTGATCAATCTAAACAGTCTTCCTGTCCCTATCAATGGCAATTATTATTAAATTCAATTAATAGAGTATTTACACTATAGCGTAAAGTATTTACACTTTATACAAGTTTTTTTCTTGTGTTTTTTCCCCTAGGTAATACTACGTTATGGTACTCTATGGTAACCAACGTTCCAAAAGCATCCTGCTATATTAAGTAGCCACTCATAAAAAAACTTCTCGTTTTCTATGCATCAATTTTTTTAGGTTAGGTGGGTTGCTTGTGTTTGTGCGTTTCTGGTTTTAGGATTTTGTATTTTATCCGTTGTGGCAAATTAAGAGCACGAGCTGTCGCATTTGCAGTACTGTGTTTTGATTCTGTAGTGGGGATTGATAATGAAGTTCCAGTGGATCCCATTTGATGTTCACTTACTGTGTGTTTTTGGGACAAATATCAAAGGTTAGACATGACAGGTTAAATGTATTTTTCCCAATCTGTTCTTCCACATGTATGGAGCTGAATGTAATTCGCTTAATTATCATACGCGTGTTATTCCCAGGTGATGCTTAGTCAAAGGTCATGGGCACATGCAAAGGTCAAAGGTTAAGGCTCACTTGTAGGATTCAACGGCCGGCCAGGGGTCACTTGTTGGATTGAAAGGTCAGGCTCTTAAATTGAAGTCAAGAGTCCAAGTATCATATAGGACTCAATTGTTAGGGTTACATGCAGGATTTAAAGGTCAGACACATATATAAGATTAAAAGGTCAGAGACACATGTAGGATTTAAAGGTCAGACACATATATAAGATTAAAAGGTCAGAGACACATGTAGGATTTAAAGGTCAGACACATATATAAGATTAAAAGGTCAGAGACACATGTAGGATGTAAAGGTCAGACACATATATAAGATTAAAAGGTCAGAGACACATGTAGGATTTAAAGGTCAGACACATATATAAGATTAAAAGGTCAGAGACACATGTAGGATTTAAAGGTCAGGGTCACATGCAGGATTTAAAGGTCAGACACATATATAAGATTAAAAGGTCAGAGAC